TAAACCTTATGGGGTCCCCGGTTGGATCCTGTCCGACCTGAGTCGGACTTCAAAACGGCCTTCAGAAAGCCCTCTGGTTTGACCCCTAAAGAGGGAGAAGAAGAGAGAGGAAAGGGAGGAGGGGGAAATAAGGAAGATGGTGGGTAATTCATGGAGGTTAGGTAGATTATATTTTGTGGAAAATAAGTTTTTAATAGAGATAAATTTAATTTCAGTCGTTAATTTTTAATTACTACCTTATTTTTATATATTTTTAGAAAATGTATAAAACGACTCAAACCGATCGAACCTCAATCGGACCAATAAATCTCAAACCCCTTACTTGACCAGCTCAATAACTTAACCCTCACAACGTTGTTATTATAGGTGTCAATCGGGCGGGTTCAATCGGGTTCGGGTTCAAACGGGTTGCGGGTTAGTCGGGTTGCGGGTTCATCGGGTTCGGGTTCGGGTTCAAACGGGTTGCGGGTTAGTCGGGTTGCGGGTTCGGGTTCAATCAGGTTGCGGGCAAATCGGGTTGCGGGTTCATCGGGTTTTGGGTCGGTCGGGTTGTGGGCGGATCGGGTTTCGGGTTGTTCGGGCCAGCGCATCAAGTAACTTAACTCATTACCAACTTACACATTTTATTACACTAATTTAAAATATTTTCTCAACTTTTTAACCAATTTATTTCTACCTCATATATATATACTTTATTTTTTTGAAAAAAACTAGTCAAAATGTTAAATCAATTTGTATGACTTGCAAACTTGTTATGTAATTAATCATAATTGGTAAAGTATTATAGCTAATAGTAATGGTGATATCAATATTTGCAATCAAAAGACAACATTAATTGTTTATTTGATATTTTAGTATTAATTCAGTAGTAATTGGATTAAAGTATCTCGTCTAGTATAACCATGCAAATCTTGTATTTGGCGTGTGGTATTTGGCAAAAGCATAGTGATAAAAGGAGTTATTTCGAAATAACTCATTGCCCAAATAACTTCAGTAAACTGTTGCCAAACGAGTTATTTGTAAAATTGTTCGAATTATCCTAAAAGTTTAACAATTAAAGATTAGCTATCAAATTTAGTAAAATTATTGTGACTTCAATCATAACTTACTCAATAGCATATATCCTATACACTTAGCCTTACCCTCAATCAACAATATTAAGTTAGTATATGTTGTTGATTGTAAACCTAAACCATCAATACATTATACACTAACCACGTAACCTATACCCTATACCCTAACCATATGTTTTTGAGTTGTGATTTTGCTAGTATAGTTAATTTAAAAGTGAAATTCATACTTTGATTTTCAAAACATAGATAAAAAGTTATATTTGCTAATTGTTATACCCTAACCATATGTCATATACTTTACACCACATACCTTGTACCCTAACCACGTACCATAAACATAAATTAAAAAGGGATCTCCTGCCGTTAAAGACTTCAAATGACTTCAAGTGAACATATGTTAATAAAAAAACTTAGAACCGTCAAAACCATCAATATCTTATACCCTAACCATATACACCCTAAACCATATGTACCTTATACCCTATACCCTAACCATATACTTTATATCCTAAACAACGAACCGTCAAAGATTACTTATCAAGTTTAGTATAAATTGTTGTAACTAATGGTTAATTTATTTATTAGCCCATAAACAATTACATACATATATATATTAGCCTTCAAAGCATATAAGAATAATTTTAACTAGTCATGTCCTCCATATAAAAGTTAAAGATTCATATTTCAAAAGCTAAAATTATGAAAAACCAAAAAATTGAAAACACCAAATTTGTTTCCTTCTTTCTTTTCACAAAAATACTAAAATTTCCCTCCTTCTTTCTACTTCCATACATTAGAAAACTCAATTTTCCCTCCTTTTTCTCTTCCATAAAATTGAAAGAACCAAATTGCCCTCTTCTTTCCTTCTACAAAAAGTTGAAAACTCAAAACTTTCCCTCCTTATTTCTCTTTCGGCTTAATTGCAAGTTTGGTCACTAGAATTACTTAAAAATTACATGTTTGCCACTAAAATTAATTTATTCCATCCGTAGTCACTTAAATTAGGTTAACAGTTCAAGTTTGGTCACTGGCCGTTAGTCTCCGTTAACTTTTGCTGATGTGGCAGTCAACTCTTATAGTTGACCGTTAAATAAGTGACGTGGCAATTAAAAAATAATAAAAAATAATTATTTTTATTTTCCAGCTAATTATTATAAATTGAAAAATGAAAATCCTAATTCTTTTAATTATTATTTTCCACGCCAGCAGCTGAATGTCGAATTGGTCTCCGTTCACCACTCCTCCGTCGCCAGCAGAGCTTCTAGTTAGGAGGAATCCGATGGCAATTTCATTGCCGAGAAGACTGCGTCTACGAGGAGGAATCAGATTCCATTGTTAAGCAACATGTCAGTATATGTAAGTTGTGATTGTACCTTTTAGTTATTGTTCATTACAAAACTTGTACCGTCAGTCGCCACCGGACGGCCACCACTTCCACCCACCCCCAATCGCCATGATACAAACAAATAAACAATTAGCCGTAGTAAAAAAAATGATGTAAAACGAAGCAGAGTAGCAGATTGATATGTATTTTTTGTTCATCTGTAATTTTCATGGCGGGCGTTTGTACTGTAGTTGGTTTCCCAGCTGGATCTGAACACTTCCTCTTCCTTCCTTGTCCCACCTCACATGTCCCTTTCTTCCTTTTCCTCTCTAATCAGAGATTCCCAAGCAAGCTCTCCTCTTTAATTTCTTCTCTGCCCCATTCTGCTTTCTTCTTCCTTCACTCCCCCCACCCCATTCTGCTTTCTTCTTCCCTTTCCTCCCCTTTTCAATATCTCCTGTTTAATTCCCTTCCCATGCCAGTCTGATTTTAAAGTTGACTTGAGATTCCAAAAAAGATGAAACGAAAGAGGTAAGGAGTAGAAGAGAGAGTGCAAGGACCTCGATCTGAGAGAAGAGTCGCCGCGACACCAGAGGAACTCATCAACGACATCATTAGCACCGTCGCCGGTAGCCGAAGCACCAGTACCGCCAAAGGTCGACCTGTCGTCGGCTTCGTCGGAGGAACAGTTCCCCAGTCGTCTCGGCGATGAAATTGAAGCGGATTCCTCCTCGTCAGAAACCGTGGACGACCTAGAAGCTCTGCCGGCAACGGAGGAGTGGTGGACGGAGACCAATTCGGCATTCTGCTGGCGGTGGAAAATAATAATTAAAAGAATTAGGATTTTATTTTTTAATTTATAATAATTGGCTGGAAAATAAAAAATATTTTTATTTTATTATTTTTTAATTGCCACGTCACTTATTTAACGGTCAACTATAAGAGTTGACTGCCACATCAGCAAAAGTTAACGGAGACTAACGGCCAGTGACCAAACTTGAACTGTTAACCTAATTTAAGTGACTACGGATGGAATAAATTAATTTTAGTGGCAAACATGAAATTTTTAAGTAATTCTAGTGACCAAACTTGCAATTAAGCCTTTCTCTTTCATAATCAAAAGAATCAAACTTTTCCACTTCTTTCTCTTCCCACATATCAAAACCACCAAAATTCTCACTTGTTGCTTTTCTATAAAATTCAAAGAACCAAATTTCCCTCTTCTTTCTCTTCCCAAAAACTTGAATACACCAAAATTTCACTCTTCGTTTAAAAACATCAAATTACCAAATACATTACTTTACTTTATTTATATTTAATTGATAATTTTATTGAATAGTTAAATTAACCAAAATTTTAATTTATATATTATATTAATATTGTCATGATCTCAAGTGACCTTCATGTTTCAATTTTTATAATTTTCTTAAAAAACGTAAAATCAAGTGAGTTTCATATTCTTTAAATTTCCTATATGAAATGAAAAAATAATTTTACTTAAGTTTAGAATGAAAAACTTTATTTTGAAAACTATGTATTGTATATTTTTATAATTATTCAAGTGGATTAGATGAAATTCGGGTTGAGTCGGTCGGGTTACGGGTTAGTCAGGTTTGGGTCAATCGGGTTCGAGTTAATCGGGTTGCGGGTCAATCGGATTCTGGTTAATCGGGTTGCGGGTCAGTCGGGTTGCGGGTTAGTTGGGTTGCGGTTCAATCGGGTTGCGGGTCGGGCGGGTTACGGGTTGTTGACTTTTAGTCAATTCGGATTGCGGTCGGGTTACAGGTCGGGTTGATCGGGCAGGTTGATCGGGTCGGGCTATGTTTTGACACCTATAGTTAGGGGTGGGCATTGGGTGGGTCGGGTGGATTTTGACCATAAAATGCACCCACCCGCGTTTAAACGGATTGATAATTTTTAACCCACCACCCACTCACATTTAGTCTCGGGTTGGGTCGGGCGGATGGTGGATGATGCGGGTGGGTTTGTGGGTTCACCCACATCACAATGTATATAATATAAAGGAGTCAACTTGACATGATAATAGGAAGATGAAATAGGGCGAAAAATGTCGAATGAGTTCTTAAATTGGATAGAAATTCTATTATGAAAGAGTTTTCTACAGATTGAGACGATTATTAGGTGCAAGGAACTAAGGAAAATAATTCCACAAAGGAAAGAGCGGTGATATAGGCACAAGAATTAGAGGAAAAAGTAAATGGAAGATGAGGGGATCTCTATTTGGAAGGTTGGCTTTGAGGTTCAAACTCCAGGAGCAGTCCGAGTTTATATCTAACGTCTCCACTCTCCTCTCTCTAGCGCCAACGACTTTGATCTTTTTGCTGTTGGGTTGAGCGGGTCACCCGCACACTCACCTACAACCCACCCATCACCCGGCGGATGACTCCCAGCGCAACCCGTCACCCACCCACTTAACGAAATTCGGGTCAAATGCGGGTGGGTCGGCCCAAACCCGCGGATGATCCGCCCGCATGCCCAGCCCTACCTATAGTTGTTATTAACATTAACCGGTTGTACCAACCCACCAAACCATGCCATCTTGAAAACCGGTATGAGTGTATAAAGTATAAACCGGTTTCAACCTTGTTTTAGTCCCCTTCTTGTTCGATCAGCGTCGAAGGAATTCACCGCCCAAATTAGTTACTGCTCCAAAAACCTAGCTCAATCCCGTATCTCCCCCACCGCCATTCTCCGGCACCAGGCCGTCCTTGTCGATTGCCATCATCATAATCAAATCTATCTCGCTGGTGAAACTCTTCCCGTAAGTTCCTTTACGCTCTCTGTCTCTCTCTCCAGCTCGCCGCTCCCTATTCGATTCCTTTTCCGTTTCCGCTGGGACATAGCAAACCCTAGTTTCTCCCAGAATGCCGAGGGAGGCTTAACAGGAAGCTCTATTAATTTGTCCAGAGGTCGAAACCTAGCTAGGAGATTGTGCAACCATGTCGGTCACGGCGGGTGTCAGCGATGCGGCACTGGCCACCCGAGACAAACTCAAAGGCAAAATCAATCCGACCAAAGTGAAGAGGTACTGGCCAGGTAAAGCTCCCGAGTGGGCAGACGAAGCAGATGAAGACGGCGATATCAGGATGTCCAAAATGGACATCCTGGAAAAGGCCTTCCCAAGCCACGACGGTGCTTCCGATCCCGCCCTGAGAGACGATCCCAGGCTCCGACGTCTGGCCGTGAGCAGGATTGACAACCGGGACGAGGCAAGAGCCGACCACCGCAGAATCCGACAGGCTGAGATTATATCCACGGAGGAGGAGGAGAGGCTGGAAGGATTAGACGCCGAGGAAGAAGATGAGGAGGCACTGGAAGAGAGAAGGAGAAGAATCAGGGAGAAGGCTCGAATGAGGGAGCGAGAGGAAGCTGCACTGCTTCCTGTAGAAGAGGAAGAAGATGAAGAAGAAGCAGAAGAAGACGAGTCTTCTGAGTATGAGACCGACTCCGAGGAAGAAACGACAGGTATGGCAATGGTGAAACCTGTGTTTGTGCCTAAATCAGAGAGAGATACCATAGCCGAAAGGGAGCGGCTTGCCGAAGAAGAAAGGGCTTTTGAGGAGAAAGTGAAGAGGAAAATGGAAGAGAGGAAGGTGGAGACTAAGCATATGTTGGTTGAAGAGATTAAGAAGGACGAACAAATTCAGAAGAATTTGGAGATGGAGGCGGAGATTGCTGATGTGGATACCGATGATGAGATGAATGAAGCAGAAGAGTATGAAACGTGGAAAGTGAGGGAAATTGGGAGGATCAAAAGGGATAGGGAAGATAGAGAGGCGATGTTGAAGGAGAAGGAAGAGATTGAGAGAGTGAGGAATATGACTGAAGAAGAGAGGAGGGAATGGGAGAGGAAGAACCCTAAACCTGCTCCGCCACCTAAGCAGAAGTGGAGGTTTATGCAGAAGTATTTTCACAAAGGTGCTTTCTTTCAGGATGAAGGCGATGAACGTGCTGCTGCTGCAAGTGCTGGGTCCGATAAGAATGTCTTTAAGCGCGATTTCTCTGCACCAACTGGTGAAGATAAGATGGACAAGAGTATATTGCCGAAGGTTATGCAGGTGAAGCACTTTGGTCGCAGTGGAAGGACAAAATGGACTCATCTTGTTAATGAGGATACTACTGATTGGGATAATCCGTAAGCCTCTGATCTGTCTTCCTCCAGCTTTCACGTTTTTTTCCCTTTTCCAATTAATGTTCTGATATAATAGTCAACTGATGAAAATGCCACTCTTTATGGTCTTTGCTGCTGCTGATTAGATTCTGTGTTGTGGTTGGATCATGAAAATAATTATTGATCATTTCTGGTGTTTGTGCAGATGGACATACAACGATCCACTGCGTGCAAAGTACAATGCCAAGATGGCTGGAATGAATGCTCCTATAGCTAAACCGAAAGGGAGTAAGAAACTGAAAGATTGGGAGACAAAATAGTAAGGCAGCTGTATTCCTTTCTTTTCTTTTTTGGTGGCAGAGGGAAAGGCTGGAGAAAGGAGGGGGGAAATTGTGTTTGTATCCCTCAAAAGGCCAAAAGATGGTTGTGAAATGATCTGTTTTTTATTCCTTGCACCATTTTCTTTTGTGCCCTTTTCAATAGAGTTGGAGCATTTTTCAGTTACTCTATCTAACTTCATGGCATTTGTTTACTGATGTAGCTTCTTCTCTAAAATCGGAACCATATCTTCTCTCTCTTCACTTATGCCCTGTTCATTGATGAGCTATGTTGAGTGAAACGATTATGACTGTGAATACGTGCATAGACCAAGCTTATAGCTAGATTGCCAGCAGAGTCTCTGTTGTTGAGTAGCAATAGCTGTAGTGAATTTGTTGAGTGTAGTTGGACAACGTGAACACATTACACATCGTTTCTGAATTTGTGGCCTTGTTTATGGGTATATAATGGTCTGCTTAAGCATGCTGTTTATATGCCACTTGCATGCTTTTGTTATGATTTTTTGTTCAGCATCTATTTCACATTCTTCTTATGTTTAAGTATTCTCTGTCTGGTCCTTCTCTGATAATTTTAGGATGCGAGTTCTCAGTGCATCTCAATGACGATGATGTCGCTTTAACTTGGTTTGTTTCTGCATCTCTTTGTTGATGCGAAGGATTGTTTTGGCTCTCTGGTGCTCCATTGGCTCGGTTACGGAAACTGACTTAGACTCTTCCAGTTTCGGTTTCCAGAGGCAATTGGTCGAAGCTGTTTCTTTTCTTTTCTCGCGTGGTCTATCAGAAAGAAACCATGTTCTTTCACCTCTAGGCTTTGCATTCAATTTCGATAGAAGTTTTTTATTCTTAGCCTGTCAATCCCATTCAGTATCTAACTTCAGAATAGTTGGCTAGATATGCAAGAGATTAGGCTCTATGTTCTTGCCTGGAGAGCCTAGTTACTTGTTGGGGTTAACACTCGAATTACTTTTAGCATTTGAAAAGCATTCTTGTTTCTGGAGTTGTAAACTACTGGTCAAATTTGCAGTGACATCCAAACATGAAATTTAGTTCAACTAAAGCCAACCCTTCATATATTAAACGGGAGCTCATCTCTTAGCGAAAGAAGCTCTTTGATCCGTGTTACAATTTGCTTCAGTTGAGGTATGATGGCATTCTTAATTTATTTGAATGATATGGTCATAACAAAGGATGACAGTACTCATAAGAAAAAGCTTCAGTTGAGGTATCATGGCTTTCTTAATTTATTTGAATGATATGGTCATAACAAAGGATGACAGTACTCATAAGAAAAACGAAGATTGATAGTAAGGGATTTCAACGCCTCACAAATGGGTTACATGCTGTTTTTTTTTTTGTTGTTGTTGAAAAAATCGACATACTTTCTTACATTCTTGATATTGAAATTGAAAGGTAAACATATGGCATTCTTATTCGAAAAAACAAGTATATCGATGAAATGAATTGATCTATACCTATAAAATCAAACCAATATTTGAATTATTTCATATCACATTGAATATAATGCGATTTTGTTCTTGGTCACTTGAATTTTATAAATACTAAAATGAACTTGACCAAAATTGTATTTAAACCGGATTAAATGCGACCAAGTGCAATAATGATTATGTCCTTAATCCTGGGATTTTTCCAATAATAGCACCTTTTAAAAAAATTACAAAAATAGCACACATCCGAAAAAATTTACACTATTAGCACCTTTTTTTATGGAACGCAAGGGTGCGTTTCCTACATAAAACGCACCTCTAAGGTGCGCTTTATGCCACGTCAGAATGGGAAACGCACCTCCAAGGTGCGTTCTACGTTTGGTGGCCAGCGGCCTTACAGTCCGCAGGATTGTGGTGCGATCTAGCGGGCAGGAGCAATGCCACGTCAGCAATCCGCACCGTGGATTGCAGAACGCAGCGGGGAGGAGCGATTTTCTGCCTTGAATAACGGAGCGCATCTTTTCAGAGCGGTCAACTCTTGTTTGGATATCGGTACACCATACGATCAACTCTTCTCGGGCCATCCATGCAAGTAACGTTAGTGCACATTTGATGGAGGTCTTCAAGCAGCGGTCTGGTAGCGACCTTTATCTTCTGAAAATTGCCACCGACGTAGGTGAACCCCTTTCCGGTCTTCAGTGTAACCATTCCACCGTAAGCCAAGCATGAGCGGTTGGAATGCCATCTGCGAAAAAACCGTAGTTCAGTTAATATCATAAAAATCAAAAATAAAAAATAACAATAAAAAGTAATACAAAATAAACTTACGAGTTAACGTTAATCGCAAAACTACTAAAGAAATATAGAGCTACAACAGAAAATTGAAAAGGGAGAAGGAGAGGTGTGAAGAGAAATGGTTTTCCGGGAAGCCTTTTATAGGCAAAATCACTGATGAAAACCGCACCTTAGAGGTGCGGTTTTCGTCTGCCATGCAGGCCCATGCAGACCCACGTCTGTTGTTCTACATGGGATGTCAGAAATTAATTGACTAAAACCGCACCTTGGGGGTGCGGTTTGAGTGGCAAAATCGCACCATATTGATGCGGTTTTCTTTGGGAGAAGCAAACCGCATCTTCATGGTGCGATTTAGATAGGCCAGGCCTAAACCGCACCTCGCCAAGCGGTTTTTGTAGGTCAGACCTAAAACCGCTTGGCCGAGAAGCGGTTTTAGTCCAGGATTTTAAACCGCGCCATAAAGGTGCGTTTTATATGTAAAACGCATCCCTAAGGTGCGATTTACTTTTAAAACGCACCTCTAAGGTGCGGTCCATAAAAAAGGGTGCAATTAGTGTAAATTTTTTCTACTGGGTGCTATTTTTGTAATTTTTTTAAAGGTGTTATTTCTGAAAAAATCCCCTTAATGTCGCCCGAAAGATTACTATTTGCCGTCCACAGTTTTAAAGTAAATGACGATTTGCCCCTTATTTTTTTTAAACCCTCCGACGTATCAACCACTGTCGGCTTCCCTCCCCTGCCGGAAAATACCCCCGCACCCAACGCTTCCTCCTCCTGTCCCTACCGTCGCCATCAGATTCAAGAGAAGCGCCGGCTAGAAATCCAATCCGACAACGATTCACCGCCGACCACAAGCAAAACCCCATAATCCATCCCGCGCCTTCTCCCCGGCATCGTCATCGTCTTCCCCGACCGTCAACTCCCCATCGTCCGACGGAGATCATCGTTCCAACGTCAGAGTTGGGACGGAGGAGCGCGGTCCGATCACCGACGTCGGACCCCGTCCGATCACCGGCGTCGGACCACGTTTGAAAGTAGATATGGTGAAGGAGAGGAGGGAGAGAGTGCAATCGACGGGTAGCAAAGTTTCAGAGAGGTTAATTGGAGAGAGAAGTATATTAAATGGTAATGGTTTAGGATTCTGCCCCGTAAATGAGATGGATTGGGGGAATTATTGTATTAAATATTAATATTATCATTTAATTAGGAAATGGGTTGATGGTGATAAGATCAGTAAATTACGTAGTAGTCATTAACTATATATAATTATGTTAAATTAGAGTTTAATTGGATTACGCGCGGTTTAACGAGACTTGGGTTTGAACATGACCAACTAATTAATAGTGGTTACGGGAAATCAGCTAATTAAGAATAAATTGTGGATGCGAACGTTTACCTTTTTTTTCCGCAAAGTCAGTTGTTATAAAACCAGACATACAGAGAAAATAAAAAGAGCGCGGGAGTAGACCAATAGTCGAACTCCCAAAGAGAGCGCGGGAGTTTACCTAATTAACAACGTAAAAAAGGTCTCTTATTGACTTCTCCCCCATTAAGACGTCTAACTACATCCCCCATTAAATATTAAAATAATAGTCCAAATGGATTCTCGGTTAGTAATTAGGGAAATAGAATTTTGGTTTTATTTAAGGAAATAGTTAATAATTTCACCAAAAAAATGAAAATAATTAATAATAACTTATTTTCGATTGCCCGTGTCGGACGGGACGAAGATGGTGTTGTGGCCTCCTCATGTGGCGGAGAAGCAGCCAACAAGGCTGGGTGGTAATTGAGAAAAAGAATAAAAAAAAAACAATAATGGTAAGATGCAGGTGGCAAATGCAGTTGGATGGTGAATGGATTAGCTCCCCAACCATTCCAATTGAATATGTCCCCTCCATTTTATGCTATAAAAGGGATGCCTAGTTCCCTTCTGAAACCATCCCTCACCATTCCATCATTCTCCATTTCCTTTGCTTGCTTCTGTTCGTATTTCTTTTGTGGGTTTTTGGTAGTGAAACGTTTTCACTACCACGGGTAGATAGGAGATTTCCTTGTGAGTGAAATAGTGAGGTTGTTTGGGAAACACCGTGTGTTCTATTTCTTGTATCGAGAAAATCTCTGTAACCTACCATTGTTATAGTAAATAAATACTCCGGAGCTGCTGTTCCCGTGGACTGGCCCAAAATCTGGGTATACCACGTAAATCCTCGGTGTCATTTATTATTATCTATGCTTGTTGTTATTTTGAGAATAGTCGTAGTATATTGCATTATTAAATTACCGAAGTAAATTGATCTAAGTAAGTTGGTTACCGTAATTCTGGAGGCTCTGCCACCAGGTCCAACTTACCTGTGAACTTTTTACAAGCGTGTGATTTCTTAGTGCAATATATTTACCCGCTATTCTCACCCGTTGCGCCCAACAAGTGGTATCAGAGTCACGTCCAATGGAGGCAAAAACAAGCAAGATGATAAGTCTGAATGGCTCAAACTATCACATATGGAGAAACAAGATGAAAGATCTCCTACTCGTGACAGAGTTGCATTTGCCGGTGTTTAGCCCAACTAAACCTGATGGCAAAACTGAAGAGGAATGGGAGTTCAAGCATGAGCAAGTACGTGGCTACATTCGACAGTTCGTCGACGACAATGTATACAACCACATTAGCGGAGAAACTCATGCCAGAACTCTGTGGAACAAGCTGGAGGCACTCTATGCATCAAAGACCGGCAACAACAAATTATTTTATTTGACCAAGTTGGTCCAGATGAAATACAAGGAAGGCAAATCCTTGGCGGATCACTTGAACGAATTTCAAGGGATCGTGGATCAGTTGTCCGGTATGGGCATAAAGATGGAAGATGAGGTGGTCGCTCTCCTCGTTCTGGCTTCCCTTCCAGAATCTTGGGAGACACTAAAAATTTCACTTACCAACTCTGCGAAA